ATTCTTTTTTGATAAAATGTCTATATATTTGTATATAATATTTTTTATGTATGTGCTTTTTTTTAATATATATTTATCTATATTTTGTACATCTACTTTCATATTTCTATATCACTTTCTCTTAAAGAACCGATATAGAATTTTTTCTATATATATTTGTGCTTTTTTAATTTTTTTTTATTTTTTTCAATATATATTTATCTATCTTTTCTACTTTCATATTTCTATATCACTTTCTCTTAAAGAACCGATATAGAATTAGTTTTTGAAACTTGTGTTCTTTTATATATCACTTTTCTATATCACTTTTCTATATCACTTTCTCTTAAAGAACCGATATAGAATTGTTTTTTGGAGGCTTATGCTCCTTATATTTATTCTCTTCTAGTTTATTTTTGCAAAAATATATATTTAAATATATATTTGAAATATATGTACTTAAATATATATTTTTTCTTTTCTTTTATTCTATCTCATCTATTTATACATATGGTACGCTTTTATTGGGTGGGTATATACTCTCTTTAAATCATAAAATATAAAAACTCGGTCGCGAAAGTAAAATAAATTTAAAATAATACTTTTTAATTTTAAAACAACTGTCCCTCGCGTAAAATATTTGATAGATTTTAAAACTTTCCAAAGTAGGTAGGTAAATAGGTATCTGTGTAGGTAGGGATGCGTATATACAAGCACTTGTAGAAAATATATTAGGCCGGGTAGGTAGGAAATTTTTTAAATCGAGTAGGTAGGAAATGTACTAGACCGCGGATATAGTTAGGAACAAACATGTAAGATTAGGATCAAGGCATGTGCCATGCAGCCTTAATCCTGATTAACAAGGCTAGTAATGTTTAAGATAGAAGTTTAGGGTAGGACATAGCAGGTTTAAAAATTAGGAAAAATGCAAATGCACTGATTAATATGAATCACTGCATATGCATGTAAATGTAAGATTAAATTTCGTTTATGTAAGGTAAGGTTACATTTATTGTATGTAAAAACTATATATAAAAAAGACTACAATAATAAGAATTCGAATTGTAAAACATCAGTAAATGAAATTTATATCGAGAATTTAATGTGCGATGAAGTATAGCATACAATAAGTGTAATGTTACCAGAAATATTGCCATGTGTGGTTCGTATTTATTATGTATGTACTTTATTGTATCGATATATATGTAAAAAACTTGCAAAATTGTAAAACTCAAAAATTGTAACACACTTTGATAAATTGTAATAAACCAGTAAAAGATATATTTTTTGAAAATGCAACTTTTCAGACACGCATATATTTGTGTGCCGTCAAATCAATTTTAAATATTATACTTATTTTATTTTTTTTACTGTGTACTGTAACTATATGTATATATGTAGCGTTTGTAAAAACAATAATAGCAAATAGCAGCAAATGATGATAAAGAAGATGGTACCTGAGTACACTTTACAAATTCTGATGCTGCTCGCTAAAATAAGATTCTTTTTTTGACTATCACATCTTTTCTGGTATGTCACATTTATGTTGTACGAAAAGTTGCAATGGTTTTTCTTATCCTTTTCTGTTTTCCTTTCTCATCTTCTCATCGCGAGATCGGTCTCATTTTAAATTTCAAAAAAAAATCAAATTCACGCTCTCGAATATACTCACACACTTAAAGAAAGTGACCATTTAAACTCGTGCACATAGCACAGAATAGAACCGCACGCTGTGGACATACCGACATGTCGTTTGTGGACTGGATGCGTAGTTTCAATGTGTACCACTCGTGGACATGCGCTAGTTTACGGGGCGGAAAAGTGATTACACAGTCTCTTATGGACGTGGTCGCTCTCACGCTTCTTTTTGGTATGTATATCGATATACCAGCTGTCCGATTGGTTTAGATTTAAATAAGAGCCAATCACAGTCGATTGCTACTTTGTCATTCAGTGAGTGACCGTGCTTTTGGATGCACCCTGTCTTCTCTATAATTAAACTATGGCTGTGTTCCAAAATTCACTGCAGCGCTAAAGATTTAGATAGTTTACGTCGCATATATTATACAATTTTAGCACTGGCAGCGTGCTGGCAGCAATTTTGGAACACAGCTTATATAGAATCGATAATCGATAGTTTAAGTTATTCTCAACGTCGACAGATGACGTCTACTGCAGTGGTTAACCTCGTTTTGAAATTGCAGAACAAATTAAATTGTTTGTAATATTTTGTTCGCTAAGTAAACTAAGTATTATTTGACAGCGACAAATGCCACCAAAATGTAAATTTCAAGAAGGTATAATTTTAATTTTTTTCAGTAAATTTTTTAATGTAGATTTTTTTAATAGTAAATAAATAGTAAATAAATTGTTGATAAAACTATTAAAAACTTGAAAAAATGGTGCAATTTTTCAAGTGGCATTTTAATCTTAAATAATCATTATTCATTTTGTGTTGGTTCTCTTTTTAATTACTGATAGTCTAAACTGTCTGTTGAGATTGTGATTTTGTGGGATTTTGTAGGAGAGAAAGTTCTGTGCTTTCACGGCCCATTAATCTATGAAGCAAAGTGCCTGAAGATTTCCATAAATAAGGATAAACAAATAAAATATTTTATTCATTATGCTGGTTGGAACAAAAAGTAAGGTTCTTGCAGGTTGAGATTTCAATGCGATAGGGTTAATCATGCTTTGATTGGATTAAGAAAATTAAATGATGTAATAATCATGTTTGTTGTAAATTATATTGTTTTAAACAAAGTTGGGACGAGTGGGTACCAGAGAGCAGAGTGCTCAAATACAATGAAACAAATGTGCAGAAACAGAAGGAAATCCAAAAAGAATATTTAAATCAACAATCTGCTCAGAAAAATAAAAAGGGTAATACAACGACAAAGATACAGGGTAAAAAGACTGATGGAACTAAGGAGAAAGATGGGGACAGCAGATCGAGCACTCCTGTCGCAATTGCTGACAAAAGTACAAGTCGATTGAACAAGAGTGCGAGCAACACATCAACATCGTCATCTTCCCACGATTCCGCGTCCGAACCTCCGCGTAAAAAGCGAAGGTTTGCAGCTACAATGTATCTGATTTTGTTTTTGTATTTAGATCCATTTGATAAATTGATTTTCTTTTTAGTCGACTAGAATCCTCGGCTGAAACGGAGCAATATCTTCCTAAGGTAGAAGTTAAGATTAATTTACCCGAAGAATTGAAACACATGCTGATAGACGAATCCGAAATAATACTGCAGCATCATAAACTACCTGCTATACCAGTACAAAATACGGTTGACAAAATTTTAGATGACTACGTAGCAGTAAAATCCTCTGGGAAAACTAACGACGTTAGGTATAACATAAAGTAATTTCTTATCATATTGTTATTAGGTTTTGTTACGCAAACATATGTTGCGGTTAATGGTACGAAACTGTTTTTTTAGAGAAATGGAAGTAGCGAAAGGCATTCGTGAATATTTTAACATCACGTTGGGCCTTCAGCTGTTGTACAAATGGGAACGACCGCAATTTATAGAAATAATGAGTGATAATTCAGAAAAATTGCCGAGTCAAATGTACGGAGCGTTTCACTTACTCAGATTGTTCGGTAAAGTTTTGACCTCATTCAAGAAATAATTCAGTTTTGTTAGTTTTGTTAGTTTGTCTTTAAGATAATAACTTTAAATTTGGTTTCACAGTGAAACTTGGCGATTTTATGTCCTATACAAACTTGGATGATAACAGCATACAGTTGTTGCTGTCGTATTTCCACGATTTCTTGCAGTACCTGCAAAAGAACAGTAGCAAATTTTTCAATCTTCAAGAGGACTATATAGACCCGCCGCCGGATTATCATCGGAAATACGGTTAACCGATCGCTCAGAGAGCTAGTTCTCATTTGTTTGTTAAAACCGAACATCGAACGAATTTATGACGCAATGGCACACCCCTCAAAGGACAAAGTGTTAATACATGTGTAATTTAGTTTTAATTATTATAAGAATACCATGAAAATCAATTGTGAATCATATATTGTTTCATATACATATCGCATTTACCATAAATAACAAGACATTTTTTTATTAAAAATTTACACTTCTACTCTCGATGTATTTTGTCCTTCTCTTCCCGCGTAAATACATATCTCGCCTGAAAAAAATAATTTTTTTCGACGGATTTCTTGCCGGATTCTTTCGTTTCGTGCGAACGATGTGTCAAACGAGCAATTTATCAAGATTGATGTTGATAATAGCGAATAAGTATTGAAGTGTGTGTATGTGATTCTGATCCTTGTCGTGTGGTTTGAATCTTCACTTGAGCGCGACGTGTGACAGTCGCACACAGTCGAGCCGGCACCTCGTGTTGTTGGACGTTCAATGCACTGGTGCATGTCCGACAATTTCGGGATTACACAGTTCTGTATAATGCACACATCGTTAAGCGTATAAATAATGAGTCAGAAAAGACCGATATCAATTTATAATATACTACAAATTTAGTGTTTAATTAGTTTGTCAAATAGTGTGGCTAGCAATATTATTACAACTTAACCTCAAGTAAACATGATTTTAAATTCAATCGTGTTGCTTGCTATCGGATTTTTCGGTACAATAACATGCAATAACGCGTACAATGACTTCTTCGACGAGGAATTGATGTTAAAACCTCTGTCGACCAATCATGTTTACGCTCATTTTCAATTCACGACAATATGGAAAACGACGAATCATGCGGAAGTTTGTGAGTGAATCTGTCGTGTTCGAGCGAGGAATTTCGTTTTTTTTTTTTTTTTTTAATATAAATACACAACAGAAATAAAATTGTTTCAGTTCAACACACGCATCTCTTTCCAAGGGGATTGGGTGAGATTATAGGCCGTCACAATGTTGATGAATTGCATATCACTTTAACAGAAGGATTGTGGAATTATCAGAAATGGGGATATCCCTTTCACGATGCCGGACCTGGTGCTGAAATTATCACTTGGTTCAACAAAGATGTTACAAAGTGAGAAACATTTTGAGAAATTGTCATAAGTATAAAACTTTTAGGACAATTTATATATATACACACACACAATATCTCAAATATCTTAAAGATATGATGAGTCAATAGTTAAAGTAAGAAATCATATATTTATTTATTGTCTCATTAATTCAGTTATTTAATATATGAAAGTAAAACGTTTATAAATATAAATATTTATAAAAAAAAAATGCCAATATAAGTTTTTCAAGTTCTTTTATACATATAGTGTAGATGAGGCGTGGAAAGGACTGACAAATGCCTTAGCTGGATTGCTATGCGCGTCATTGAATTTTGTTGACGCATCCAATAGCATGTCGCCAGAATTTACTTTTCGTTTCACTGGCGTTACAGAAGGACCGGTAAATTCTAGCCACTTGCGTTATTCGTCACTCCCAAGGGAAATAGTTTGTACTGAAAATCTAACACCGTTCAAGAAACTGCTGCCTTGTGATTCCAAGGTATTCGTAGCTAAAAGAAGTCAGCATTAGTCTGCTTACGGAATATGTATTATTTTACACAGCAGTTAATTAAATTCTTTATCCATAGAAAGGTCTAGCGACATTGTTAAACTCAGCTCACATTCATAACACAAATTATCACTCAATTGGAATACATTTTCGACCGATATGTCGCGACGTAACTTGCACGAGAATGTCTCTGGAACTGCGACAAACTGTTTCATTGATATACGACACGATGACGGACACAAATCAGGTAAAACAAAATAGATGAGAAATATATATATATATAAAAGAAAAGATATTGTAAAATCAAAAGTAAATCAATGAACGAATTTTTTTGACCGATCATTTGCACATCGACGATTTATACAGGAGTGGTCAATACGGAAGTTCTTCGGGATGGGACTTAAAGGCGCGTGTCCGCTCGCAACAATAAGCAACATATACATCGATGTATTGGGCAATAATACAAATCATGTGTTCGAATTGACGCCACCTCCAAGCACAAAAGTCGTTAGTCTACGCGGCGGACAACAGAATAAAATAGCCGTGTACGACATCAGAACTCACTCCAGCAAAGGGATCTTTAATATCGCCGCCGTATATAGTACAAAAACAAGCACCATAATTTATCCCTCAATCTTGTACGCAAACAGATATATCATCGGTACGTTTTGCGCGAGGAAAGGCATAAATTTTTTTTTTCACACCTATTTTTGCAGTTTTTAAATATATATATTTTTTTTTCTTACGTGTATTTATGCACAATATTAAAAGTGGCAAATACTTCGATAGATTTTTACAAAAATTGCAATGAAATGCGATTACAATGCGGCTCTTTCGTAGGGTACGGTCAGGAAAGAGGCAGTTTAGTGACTAAACTGTATAACAATCACTGGCAGATATTGGACGTGATCTTGTTGGAAAATATTCCATGGTACTTACTAGTTTACTTACATTCCATTACAGTAACTCAAAACGGACAACGGGTTCGCCCGTGTAAGTAAACAATAATTATATAATATAATTGTAATAAGAAAATTGCGCGTAAAAACTAATATTTATATACATAATAGAAGATAAATGTGTATAATAATTTGTACGACTTACACGACTAGTAAAATTTACAAAAGAAGTTTTTTTATTCGTGAAAATTTTTATAACAATTTTAAATATGACTTTTGTATTGACATTTATATTTCACACTATTATTATTATTTTTTTTTTGTCTTTTTTTTATTATAGTAGCGCAGCGTTATCTGCCCGGAAAAGAAAGAAAAAAACCATATTATTTGGAACTGATTTTGCGTCTACCACCGCACTCGGTGACGAAGATCTCCATAGATATGGATTACTTGTTTCTCAAGTGGCAGGAATATCCGCCGGACGCTAATCATGGTTTTTACATGGGACCGGCTGTGATTACAGCTTCGTTGCCTATAGCAAGAAATTACACCGCTCTGCCACTTGATGGAAGTACTATCACTTCAAGGTTCGTTCAGTTCAAACATTTATTTGTCGATTTTCAGAGATATCTTTTTTTTTCATATCGCAAAAAGTTAACCTTCATAGGTTGGTCACAGAGAGTCATTCTGGATTTATCACAAAATTTAACGAAGGGTTTTGTTTTTTTTTAAAAAAACACTTATATTTTATTCTCAGTATTTCTTGATTTTCTATATAACGTAACACAATTCATTTTCCGACTATTTCTCTTAATGATGAATACTCGCAATATACTGCAATGTTTGAAGCCAGTTTCAACTGGCTACAAAAGTTAACTGACGAAGTGTAACTAATTTTTTACGGTAAAAACCTGCAGTTTCAACGCCTCGAGAGACTACTACCTCGTACAGTTACGAACAGAGTCTTTGCTGATCAGTCTTCCGACTCCCGACTTTAGCATGCCTTACAACGTTATATGTCTGGCCTGTACGGCCGTCGCGTTAGCGTTCGGGCCTCTTCACAATATTTCCACAAAGAGACTGGTATTGAAACGTATTGAGAAGGACTGGAAAGGTAAATTGTTCTCTTTCTTTGTAGATAAATTCAGATCGAAAAAAAAACAGGAATAAAAAGTATAAATAAACACATACCTCTCATAAATATATTGAAAACTATCTCTCTCTCTCTCTCTCTCGCCATTCGAACAAACATAACATGTATTCACATATTCGCTACAATTAATTGTATGCAAACTCAAGACAATTAATTGTGTTCTTTTTTATAATAACGAATGCAAATATTTCGTTTGCCTCGTTGAAGGATTTAGAAAGGAAGAAGAGATGATTTCTTTGAACTTCTTTTCTAGCAAAAAATACACACACCTATGTAAAACAAAACAAGATTGCTCTTACTTACTTAACCTTCAACTTTCCAATCAATATAATTTTTTTAAACTTGCTATTTTTTTTGTTTTTTTTTTTTTTTTTTTTTGTTGTGTAGAAAATATTAAAAGTACGTTTTCCGATTTACATCCTGTATATTCCTGTGTACATATTTTAATTTAAAATAGGCCTATGTTTCAATGTGAAAACTTAATTTACATCACTAATATAACAGTTAACTTTTTTTATGTAACAGTCTTCCGCTACTTTATACACGACGGGTTTCTAATACATTCCATAAAACGTTTATAAACTGGATTGGATGAAATCCGTTCCGTTATACTTATCTGTGTGAGTTTATTCCTCAAATAATATCGTGAAATCTCTCAACAGTCATGCAATAACGAAATATGAATTCAGCCATTCATAGTCATTGGAATAATTATTGGAATATATATAAGAAACGTAACACGCGTACAAAGTACAAACGTATCGATTAATCAGAGAGACGAAATATCGGCATACACAAACGATACTCATTCTCGTCTGCTTTTCACTGATCTCGTTGCTCTAAAAGTTTGCTGACAAGCACAAATGTATATTTCCACTTAAAGTCTGTTTCGGTGACAATTTTTGCAAACCCGATTTCGCGTTCGAAGATCCCGTCGTTGTGTTAAGAGGATCTCTGTTCTCGTCGCAAGACGCCGGTTTGCGCAGATCGTCTTCTTCTTCGTCGGATGAGCAAAGATCGATCAGCATAATCGCGCGCGAAGAACAATCTTTCTCCGTTGTTGTTTCCGTAGCTTCCACGTCGTTCATGGAAAGTGACACTTCGGAGGAAGGGACCAAGGCTTTAGCTGTCGGTGCAGCGTTGTCCCCGTCTTCAGAATTTGAAGAACCCAATTCGTCATTGAATTCCGCTTTACGTTTCGAAGATACAAGAGTAGTTTGCCCGCAAACTGTCTTTGATCTTGGTCTCGTTTTGCAAGCTGGTCCCGCTTTTCTCATCGGTCTGATCTTTGGCGCGTTAACGTTCTTTTGATGAAAACGCTGATATTTCGAAGGATCTTTTTTCAATTCATCAATCTGCATCTCGTTCAGCCGTTTGAGAACAGCGTGAATAGGTCGGCAAGCGATGTACAATAGTTGCGACCGTATGTCTAGTACTGAAGAGAAAATATAGATTACGCAATCTATCTGAGTATTTATATGTACAATCTTTCTCAGGTTTTTTTTTTAACACAAATTTATATATTACATAGCAAATTATTTTGATGTAATGGTAACCTAGTTAAATTTATTATAAAAGTGTGTTAACTCTTCAGTGTGAAAATATTCAAATATCTTCTGACCAAAACAAATATTATTCATCGAAAATTTAGTGATAGAGGAAAATTTATACATTTTTTTTTTCACTCTAAAGAGTTACACAGATAGGTAATAAAAATGGCTAATTAGTTGTTTTAAATACGCACTTGGTTTGTCACTCAAAGGATTTCCGAACTTATATTGGTGCACATAATTGTTATTCGATATATCCCGGTTTGGTTTGTACGTCACTATCCATTTGGTACAATTAACTGTGTCGAGCCACTTTGGTCTACATGAGTGGCTTAGTACCGGTGCGACAACGTGTCGCTCTATTCTATCTAATCGTTCTTGTTGCGTGTCTTCGGTTATTATGCTCTTCGATCTCTTCGCCAGTACCATGCCAGCGGGCGACGAGAACGGAATAGTCGCGCATCTTGTGAAACTAACGGTATTTCTAACACGCTGAGACGTGCGTCTAACGATATTGTTATCAGGAACATTTGCAGTTTTTACGTCGCTCGATTGCGCTTCTTCAGTCTTATTCGAAACCAATTGGAAATATGACAGAAACTGATCTTGCTGTAACTCAACTTGCGAGATCAAAGATAGGTCTGGCGAAGATGAGCGAGAACCGCTACCACCTTGGTCCTGCTCGGCGCAGCATATCTTTTCGTGTTCCTAAAGAGAGAATATTTGTGTAAAAATAAGAAAGTGCCGTTTCGCTCTTACATTGTATACTAAGTTTAATCTATTTACTATTACCTTCATCTTTGCAAGACCAATAAACTCGGCGTCGCAATTGTCGCACAGATAAATGTCGTCGCTCGGTTCAACCATCATAGGGACTTGTTGCTGTTGTTTAGTCTTATTACCCACTGAAGACGCACGAGACAACAACGTTCTTCGAGCATTGTCAATTTTTCTGTCATAATACTGTAGGCGCAGAAAATTGTCTCATTCATTAAATTAAGATGAAACAAGATATATCAAACTACTACAGCGAGGCTTTGGCAGCACCACTAATTCGTTAGTATATATGCGGATATACATGCATTTTGTACACACCATGTTTTCATTGCGAAACGTCACTAGTAGTTTTCCCGTGCTCTTGTGATACAGACTAGTTGTTGAATCCCAATTATTAACATACTCTAATTCTTCACGGGGGTACTGCGCGAGATAGGAACAAAAACGCAACAGATATTCGCTTCTGTGATATGTGTAACATCGGAAAACCAATTTCTTTAGGTTTGCCATCCAGTTCTAAAATAACATTCGTTGAGGAGTTGATATAAAAAAAAAAAAAAAACTCTTGATTACTTAAGATGATCAAATAAAATGATGCTTACTTCGTTTATCTTCTTGGGTCTAGTCAGTGGACTTGAAAATGTAACATCTTGCGGCCACCACTCAGGTTTATTAATAACCTTAGTGGTATCATGACCCAATGAGCAATGGACCATGAACAATATAAATCGTTCAAGTTGCGCCTGTGTGTATAATTATATCAATGTTAGATATTACACATACATCAACTGCTTCATTCTTAATTACTTAATTACAAAACTTAAACTCAAAATAACAATTACATACAGAACTAGTAAATGTACCATTGTGATTTTCTCCAGAGATGTGGGATATCCATCAGCAAATAAGAGAGGAAGATTGGATACCATAGAACCTTCTTCCTCTGTTAACATGCCCTGTTTATATCTTTCATCGGGATTATCCATCTCATCATTTAACAATTGATTTTCAAGCATATTACTCCTGTCTATCTCTTGTACAGCCGGACATTTCATATTTGCAGAGTCATTCTTTTCATTTTCCATTTAAAATATGTTTGACGTACATACGAGAGATCCTATGACATAATTTTGCACAGATTACCTTTGTTATCCACTTAAGTTGCTTTTTTTATACAAATTTATACAAATTTTATACAAATTTATTTTACAATGTTCAGTATAAAGCAAAATGTACAAGTATTTTTATACCGTGCCCAATTATTCAATTATTAAGGTCACTTCAGAACTTTCTACGAGAAAAAAACCAAATTGCTTCAGAATTTTTTAAGTTCTAGTAGTTTTGGCTAAATAAACGATCTTATTATTTAAGTACGCATTGAGAAGTTTAACTATTTTTTTTTTTTTTTTGCGCAACATACGTCACGAAACAGAAGAGGCGTTTTTCTCTACATTCGAGAGTTATAAAGTATGTCGCCCGTACTGGAACCATAAGAGCAATAAAAATAATAAATTTTTTACTGCAAAAACACGGATAATGCTCGTTATACAGAATCAAATCTGATGACGTTACGTGCGTCAAAAAAGATACCTTTTGTTTCTCGCGATTCTCCTACCCGCAAGGAGGTTCAACATCCCTCAGAACCACTTGGCCTGGAACAACTCCGTCACATTTTTACACACCAGCGTAACTATTCGCACGTATTACTTCTCTCCTTCCGTTTCTTCTTCTCTCGCAATTATCCTTTCTCCAAAATTTTTTTTTATCACTTCAACTCCAAACTCTGAATAATTCGGATGAATCACGCAATGGAAAAAGAATTTTTTTTCGCGACAATTCGCGTATTTACTGTTATGAACGAGCGCGTAAGGGTGATTTTGGCACGTTCGTTGGGTATTTGCGAGCGAACAACATTGATTTGTTTCCGTTCCTGTTCCTCTCAAATTTTCTTTTCAGAATTTTCGTTTAAAGGTCTCGTATCGTGGCGCGCGTCTTGTTTTCGAAAAAAATGGACGCCTCTCGGTGACCTTAAACGCGACAATGCCGCGATCTTTACGTCTTCAGGTATCTCGCACAGTACACACAGGCGTTGTTATGACACCGACGCAGCTATAAATTCTAACCACGTCAGTGAGAGAGCGAACGCGCCGAGACTTTTCCTCCGCGACCAGAGAGAGACCAACGACGTTGTCCGATGTTGTCTACTTGTTCGATCCTGCGCTCTGCAAGAGAGTTGATTGTTGGATTATAAGGCGCGGGAATTATATTGGTCGGAATGTTCTGCCCGTTCGTCCCGCAATCCGCGCGGGGCCCGCGCGATCGCAACCGCGACAAAGGGACGGGGGTCCGCGGCTTGACAGTTCCCTCCCTTTTGGCGTCTGACGACGGCTCAAGATGGCGAACGTCAACTCTCACAAGTCCGCAACTCTTCTCGCCGATATGGAAGTTGATCAACAGCCACGACGCCGCGTAGAGTCCGCGAGGTCGCTTCGACCGTTCCTCGCTCACGAGAGAGACCCGCGCGAGCTGAAATTCAGATGGAACACTTATGCAGAGTGATCTTAGACGCGAACTGAAGTTTTTTTTTTTTCCGCAACTCTTCGAACGAAAGAGCAGGCAGAAATTGCAGGAAGAAGCGCGAAAGAAACGCGAACACTACAGTGGTGGTCGCGTGTGTACAACGCGTACAAATGTTCATCACAAAATGGCGTCTGACGTACAACAAAATGGCCTACGTGTGACAAAATGGCGTCTGAGGCGCATACGCATTGCTTCGAAAATTGAAACAATGAGAAACAAGTTTCTTATCCGTCGGCTTTACTCCGTACGATTTTTAAACAAGGTTTTCTCTCTTAGAGACTGATACTTTTGTTCTCTATTAACAACGTCGCACCTCATATTTTTTGTTTAAAGAACAAAACATAACCTCTAAGATACGACAATTTGCACTGGTGACGTTAGTGACCAAAGCGTGAAAAGTGCACTTAAAAAACTATCTTAGCGCACTTAGTAGCTTTTGTTATTTTTTTTTTTTTTTGCAAACGTGTGTAAAAAGTTACATTATATAAATATTACGTAATCGGCATTGTTAATTACACGCCCGTAAAAAAGTAATTTATCCGAAAAATAATCACCAGATCAAGCGTAGTAGTGTAGTATTTACTTTTTAAATGTGTGCAGAGAGTATTCCTGATAGGAAAACATTTAAAAAATTATTTGACGAAATTTTGCACTAAAATTGTAATTTGCAATTATACAGATATATTTTGGGAAATAGATGTAAACACATTGATTTGATCTTTCATAAAATGTTTGTTTGCAAAATTACTTTCCAAATACTATTTCGGCAAAAGAACGATATGGCGAATCATCTTGGCAGTATATTTGCAAAATTAATTTCAAAAAGGAATTGTCCAAGAATTGAGAAAAACATTTCAGTTATGTAATGTTTAAATTATGTAGAAATATCATTGCATATGAAGAAATCAACTTAACCCTCTATGGGCCGAATTTTTTTCTTAAATATAAAAAAATTTAAGACGTATACATCATCTTGTGAAAAAAAACAAACTATTTGGTAAAATGTGGATATATTAGCTTGTGACTTGAAAGTTACATGGGCCCATAGAGGGTTAATTCATGTGTATACTTATGGAAATGCGACTTTTTCGCAATTTTTGACAAATATTATTTACAAAATTTTATTTCGACAAAACTGTTGCGTTACGGCGAATCATTTTAGTGCAATCGTTGCAGGATCGTCGTTATTCGTGATGCCATTTTTGCGCAATATTTTCACAATTTGCCTATTAGGAATAATATAGGACAGTGGGCCCATTAGTGTGTCATTAAGAAAATTTTCTTAGATATCAATTAATTACACAATATTTTAACTTCATTTTGTATTGAAAAAAATGTACTCATTTTTCAGACTTTTCTTTTTATCGAGATATTTTTTTAACTAAAAAATATTACAATTTTATATTAATTTCAATAAAATAAAAAAAGTTACATTTTGCTGCAGTTAGTGTGTCCTTCAAGACAAAAAGAATTATTAATGTCCCCAGTTAGTGTGACTGTCCCGGATTGTGTGCTCGCAGTTAATGAACAATTTAAAAATTAATAAGAACGTTTTTAAAGCTACTTTTTTTTCTATAAAGTTAAAATCTTTTCATATATAAAACTTACAATTTAATTAACGAGAATTGTGTAAACAATTAATGTATTTGCTATTTTTATAAAAATATTTCTTATTGCTTTTGATAACTTTTGAGAAAATTTGTCACTATTGCATAAATTTTTTAAAAAATAAGTTGTTCACTTGTTTAACACTTGAATAATATTACATTTTCTTTCTCTAAACGTAATCTTTATTAACTTAATTTTGTCAAAAAAATATTCGAGACGTTTATTTTTACGATTTGTTTAATAATCATTATTTAAATGCAAACACACGCTAATTGGATCAGGCACAGTGACTGATTACTACCCCAGTTCGCGAATAAACATTTTTCCTAAACTAACCTCAAACAGATTTGAGGTTAGAACTGTCTTAGAGAATAAAATTGAGATTTGTTTCGGAAATAGTCTCGTGCCAAGATTATAGAATCAATTAGTCGATCAAAAAGATGGATTTAATATATAAAAATATATGTTTATTCAACAAAAGAACTAGTAATCAACATGTTGCGCAATAAAATGGCCTCCGAAACATATAAAATGATTGTTGAAACAAAAATCACACACACACATGATCAAATGATTAAGATTAAATCTGCGATATACGATGTTTCTTTTTGTGCTAAATTGTGAACACGAGCATCAGAATCGACTGATCGTGATTAGTGGAAACAAACACTTACCGCAGGCTTTAGTCGTAATCGATATGGTTTAATGTATTAAAAATAACGACCAAGTGTGTGCTACGAGCAATTATACAAAGGCGTTAATGCCTTTACCATACGTTGTACTTTTCATTGTTAAAATATTGTTGGATTACATCGATGCAACTTCATATATAAAGGCATAAACACCCTTGCCCGTACACACGCTTGTACTTCAAAAAAAAACAAAAAATGGAAATTTTTCGTTTCATTTACTTAGTTTAAAAAGCTAAACTATTGGACTAATAAACTTAAATAATTTTATTTTGTCGGACCAATAATTTTTCTTGTTTATTTATTGTTTTCTCTTAGTTGAGTTTTATTGCGCTTTATTTTTAATCCTAGAGTCGTCCCTGGTTATCTCTTGCCAGTAGTCAAAAAATGTTGTTTTGCTTTATGTTGGTTTAAAATAAAAAATAAAATGCGCAATAGAGCGCAGCAAATCAGCAGCCAGCTAACTGGTTGAGCTAAATAAATTTGTACTAAAATTTTAATATTTTCGCGTAACAACTTCACGCACGTTAAGTTTTTTCTTTTTTTTTTCGTATTTTCGATAAACCTACGTGTGGCTGCATGTGAACGCGCGTAGTTTCACATCATGTGTTGCCAATATACATCGACTTCCTTTTATTCGGTTTTGTCTTATTTTCACTCACCGGTGGCACACAATTTTTATCGGTATAATTGCACTGTACACATTGACTTCCTCTTCCTTTCACGCGAAGCGAATTTGGCGACGACGACCCGGTCTGCACTGAGAACTGAGATGGTCAATATCGCGAAATTTACTTCACCAACATCGGATACTCAATCTAGTATATGTCGAGTTCATTGGTTGAACGTTTTAGACCAACGTTGTATTTATATATGTTTTTCAAATATATGTTGATCAGCTATCGGATAGGGATTTTCTGAATTTTGTAAATCGGATTAGTGCAACAAAAACTAGCAATTCTTCAATTAACTAAAAACTAGTCGGACAAACTTTCGTAGCGTAATCGATTTATTGAATGTCAAATGTGATTGGTCGATTTGATTGACCGACGACTGTGATTGGTCACTTCGAACGGAATATTTAGTCAATTGAGTTAACTGAAGTTGACAACACTGATTAGGCGTCGTTCATAACAGACGCTTGTTGCAATCCCAAAATCCCTAGAATTTTGACCAATCACGGCTTAAACCTAAGAGAGAGAGAGATCAGCGAATAAAAATATAATTAAATATTTTATTTATAAAATAATCAACCAATCATAGCTAAACACGTTTTCTGTCAGTTAAGCATAACTTTTTAATAACAATTGATTTTGATTAAGTACTTGTGTTTGTTTGGTATAAAATTTATATTTTTTGTTTGCTCCAACCTTCGTAGCTATGTATCTCATTTTCTGCATACGTGTGTTTTGACACTAATTCAACAGATGTGGCGGGCTGATAACATTCGGAAGGTTAACAAATAGTCACATTCCGAAAAAACTCACGCACAATTCTTTTTTCTTTGTTTTATTGTGTCGAAGAGAAAGGACGAACTTTGTTTTGCAATAATGAGTATTTCATGGAAAAATACTGACGAAGCTTTGCAGGATTTTGTGAGCATTTTGGTTTGTGGAAAATGGTAATTGCGTGTTATTAAATAACTTTTGTTATTGACAAAAACAGAAAATTGTTCAAGTGATTGAACTAAGTATATATATGTTATTATGTGTTGTTATATATATGTTGTTAAATTATGACTTCTTTATCAATGCATTATTGTAAAATTTTATAAAATACTTATTGCTTTGTATCTATTCTTGTAGTTTATAATTAGTATATCACAGCAATATTTCTATTAATATGTATTTTATACAGTGGATTTAAGCCAGAAACTCCTGTAAGGCTCACAAACTGTGGACACTTCTTTTGCTATGACTGTATTAGCTCAGTAGCAAAATGTGTTAAATGTGAAATACCAGTACAGCCAAGTGAGATAAAACCTGATACCTTAATTATGAACCTAATTCAAAATTGTGACATTATTGCAGAAGTTATTAATAAAAGGTTAATTGGATCTTTCTAAGTACAAGATGTGACATAAAGAATATAATGCATTTAAAAATATATATCATTAATACAAAGCAGATGCACATGATTACAATAAAGATGTATTATCATTTTGTTTTAGAGATTTATGGGATATTGCTGATAAACATAGCTCAACAGCAGAAAATACAATATCTGCAACAATTCACACCCCAAAAAAGCAGCCTTATATAAACACAAAAAGAATAAATAAACCAAATCCCAAGGGTGAAACACCATTACATGTTTTTTGCTTAAAAGTATGTTCAAATATTGATTGCTGTTTGAATTTATTAATATATTTATTTTTTATTTAATGTATCAAATTATTTATAGCATATTTTAACATAGACAAATAATAAAAAAATGGTCTGCATTGTCATGAAATTTTTTAATACATTACAGAGGGAAACTGAAAAAGTTAAACATCACTTGCTAGCAGGAGCAAATCCTGACACAAGGGATAATGCTGGTTGGACACCACTGGTTGGACAAATATATATTTCTTGTTTTTTTTTATTTTTTTATTTTTTTCTAATTATTTTTGATTTACTTTATACTTATTTCTTAAACATTTCAGCAAGAAATGATCAGTTATGGATATTATGAAATATGTGAATTATTACTGAATTGCGGTGCTTCAGTCAATATGGCAGGTTACAAAAATAGAAAACCATTACATGAAGCTGTTAAGAACAATAGAGTGGAAGAGATCAAATTGTTGTTACGTTATAATGCTGATAAAAACGTATTTGATGAATATGGCAAGAAACCTATGTATGTACGTCTGTGTATTATGTATACACATTTAGAAATATAATCTTAACTTTCCTTTGACTGTGCAGAGATTATTGCAAATCAGAAGAAATACGACAGCTCTTGATGGACACGCCACAATCCAAACCTTCTAAAGATCTTAATCAGTCGCTTAATAAATCAATATATGCGAGAGATAACAAGATAGTAGTTCTCGCCTCAAATTTAAAACATGAAAATCAGAGATTGCTTGGTCTCGTAGCCGCAAAACATAAACTCAAAATTTTGACCACATATAGGTATTGTTTTTTTTTATTTTTGATTTTTTTGTGTCAATTTCTGTTAAAATTAAAACACTGTTAGCATTATACAATTTCGAGTTTTACGTTTCAGGCAAAATGTTACGCACGTTATAGTAGAGACGAACGAGCAAAATATCGCAAAACTAACCTTGGATGTTTTATTCGCTCTAGTCCATGGAAATTGGCTTCTCAGTAGTCAATGTAAGACGAGAGAAAATTTGTTTTTATGTGTAATAGCTTTTACATTTATAAAATTTGTATAATTTTGAAATTGTGCAATTTATTCAAAGGGATTAGACTGGCAGAAGACACGGACGATATATCTGATATGGATCTTGAGTTGTTCGAAGTAAGTGGAGCACCAACGTACGGAATTCCAGAGAAGTCAAGACAGAACACAATGTGTGGAAATCCGCGCCTCTTCTATAACTGCTTCTTCTACTTCGCTTTACAAACAAACACGACCTATCAAATTGACGATGTGCGGTTGACAAAGGACGATTTGATTAGGCTTGTGAAGGAAGGAGATGGAACGGTTCTGACCAGAGAACCGCATCCAGAAGCCATAGAGACAAGGGGTATACCTTTTCACATTGCGAGCGACTCTTCGCATCCTTTGCACGGATGCACGCATTACGTTATATACATGCCGGGCAAGGGTGAACCGGTGATCAAGTACAATATGCCGCACATCAAGACTCTGCCGCTGATCTGGCTAATCGAGTGCATTGAAAAATTTAGTTTCGTCAGTCCAGCCGATTTAGGACTGTGAGTGCTTAAACAGACACATTAATTAATTGTATAGTTTCACACTTGCAAAAAATATAAGTTTCTATTTTCAAAGCGCGCGCGAGCAAAATAACAACGTGTGTAATAATATGTAAGTTTTATTGTAAAAGCTAAAATAACTGATAAATGGATGTATCGCGATTGAAATACTGTCGACAATGATCCTTTGAAACACTGCTTTTTAGACATTGTTTTTGTTCTTTTCACGAGGAAACCGACCACTCCCATTTTCATTCCAATGTACGCGTTCCCTCATTTTCTCAGTAGCATAAAGTAATCCGTCATTGATTGATACTTACAATCAGAGATACCGCACGCAACTTATGTGCCGCAAATCTCGCGTCCGGTGATCTAACAGACATTTTATTCAGGTAGTTTAGTCAGAAATTTATTGGGAAACATTATCGGGAATTTATGTTCCACAATCGTGGGAAAATGTCATTTTGCGTAAAGAATGATCGATTCTAGAGGGAAGCATACGGTATTTTGTATCGTACGGGTAAAGTACCGCTAGTCGCGCGCACACAATATACACGGCAGCGTCACACATGCACGCGCACGTGTGTCGTATATGCGCGCGGACACGTTGGTGAGCGCGCGCACATACATAAGCGAGAGACGCGTGTATTTATTTACCGATACAAGCGCGGGCGATACGTATGTGAGGAAATGAAAAAGGGAACGACGGAAGAAAGGCTAGAAAGGAGAACAGGACAGAGAGGGAAAGAGGAAGAACGTAAATCTGGAGGAAAAATAGGAAAAAAGAGAGATCCGGAGACGAGCGCGGGAGAGTAGGGGGATCATAAGCGACGAGCGTGGAATGAGACTACGATGTATACATATCCAGCACATCCAAGAGAGGTACTTAGATGATCGGTTATTGAGGAAGAAACGAAGAGTGCATACTAAAGAGCACACACAGGGACGGATTTTCCGATTAGATTTCTTTCGGACTTGTTTCAATAATCAAAGTATCTTGAAAGAAAATTATTTAGCAAAACGATTTAAAAGATTAAACATGTATATGTATAGATTTTACATATATGTATACGTGTATATATTTATATGTGTATACACATATAAACATATATATATATGTATATTATAAGAAAATTGCATCACATTAGAGAGATGTGCAACTTAAAATGGCATATCTTGAAATATTTCATGACATAGAAATTACATGTTATGCAACTAATAATTTAGTTAAATTGCAGTCGATCGTAGAGGAAAGAACATTAAAACTAACATTACTCCTGTCAACAACCCTATCCCCTCCGGATGGCGTCCACAAAGGCGGTCGGCCGTCGTTCCATCTTTCTTCCTTGCCTCTCGCGCTCTCACCTCTTCGAGCCGGCACCGTGTGTGTGTGTGGAGGTGGGGATCCTCCGCACACCCTGACCTACAAGTAGGCCCTGATCTCTTACCCAGTCAGTTCCTGTCAAACAAGCCAAGGTAGGCGATGTGGTTTGCATGGTTTCAACATTGTGAGCACCATTGAGCCGTCCTTGCGGTGAAGAGGAAGTTCGACGCGCGTGTGATCAAGACCGCAAAGAGACGGTGCGCTGTTGTCTCGAAAGCGGCTTCTTTCCTTCTCTCTTTATTTTTGTTTTTATTTTGTTGTTTCTCCCGGATCGGAAGAAAAACAAGACCGGAGAACAGCGAAAGGGAGGCTGAAGATGATATTGAGAGCCGCCCTTGGGGGCATCGTCCTTTTGCTCACGCTCGCCGGATCAGTCGGCGAGCAAGATGACGATTCCTTGGCTAGCACCTTTCTATCAGGTGAGAATTTATATTTTAAGATAATCGATTGTCGAAAACATCACGTTTATTAAAATAATAGAAAAAAAGAGAAAAAAATCGTATTATTCTCATTCAAGATTGACCTAATTTTAATAGAATGTAAAATTTGATTTCATCAGGTCAAATTTCTTGTAAATATTGTTGTTTTGAAAAGAACTGTTATTTATAGCGTTACTGAGTCTTTTAAGTAAATTAAATATATATTCTTATACAATTAGTAAAGTAGAAATAAATTCAAGTAGAAACACAAAAAGATGTGTAAAAAAATGAGTTGAATTTGTTTCAGCATATAGTTGACATAATCTTATAAATTATACGTTCATACATTTGAAATAAATTATATGTCAAATCGATTTTAGCCTCCGGCTTAATTGACAAAAAAGTCACCAAGTAGGAGTAGTAACTAGTAGATTTCTTCGAGAAGTAGAAATTCGCGTGCGCGAACGTATGCGACGCACGCTTTTATAGGTAGAATCTGGAAGGATGCGACTGTTCCACTTTTAGGAGTTGTATAGCGCTATGACGGTCGATTCACTGCCGGTAACAAGGCCGTCACTAAGCTTAAAAAAACTAGGAAGCGGTATATTCTTACATTTTCACGTGCTAAGTGTTTTTAAGTACAACTTACACGTGTGTATAATTTTAACGTTTTTATTTAATTTGTTTATTACTTGCGCCGAAATAACTGACTCGAATATCCAGTCGTTCTAATTTTTTTCTATCATCAATGTGTAATGTAACGATAAAAATGATAAATGTAAAAATATTTATTATCGTATTTGTGAGAAAGAACAATACAAAAAATGTGTGAAAACTAATTGAAAATAAAATTTGATAAATTTTGTAAAAATAATATCTAATAAATGCAGGAAAATAAAATATAAATTAACGATAAAAACATAATAATATTGCAATTCTGAATTAAAGAACGTTCGATAACTTCGTTTTATATGTAATGAAGAGAAGTTTTTAAACTTAACTTTGAGTTTTGTTTCAAATATTATTATTTATCGCTCTGGTAGCATCTTGGAGTCACAAACCCCTATATGATCTCTCATGTTTGTAACGACTATGAAGATGCATCTTATGAATCACACACGACTACGATAGTAAAGATGAGAGACAGAGATTACAGATATCAAAATAGTTACGTTTCTCGAACTCGCAGAATATGCGAGTTTTGTTGACATAAAAAATAATTAGTTGATGTAAGAAATAATTAATTAGCAAATAGTTTGCCACAATGTAGAACTGCGTAATTAAAAAACATGTATATGTGATACTTGCGTAATCTCTCCTTAAATTTATTTATTATATTACGTCACGTTATTTTATACGTTATTTGAATTTGTAGTTTACATTACACGCATTTTTTGTACAATTTTCCTCGGGTTTTTGTTTCTAAATAATAATAATTAATTTCAAAATCAAAGTTCTCGATCAGCTATTTTGAAAATAAAGTATTTCAAGTACTTGAGGAAAATAAATATAATTAGCGGCACTCTCGTGTTAAAATTAAAAAACTCTTTTAGTGTGTCTATAGTTTTTGATATATTGTTGTACACAAGTCAGTTTGTCAGTCAAAATTTTCTTAATTCTAGCTTGTAGAATTTGATATACCCGCGCTCACAGAGAGTAATAATCAAGTTTGACAACTATATGAACGGATTTACATAATCGTTTGTCGTCGTTAGATGAAAGACTACGCCGAAGACGCCGAAGACAGTTATATATGTAGCCCGAGCCCAGCCGCTCATTAACTACCGTTATGTTTGTTTGGTCCGTTATGCCTGCCAAAGTGAAACCAGCCGAGGGAGTATTATCTGTGCGAATTTCTTGGTTGCGAATCCGCCCCGCGCTGTACTATATGACGAAACTCGAAAAGCTCGCGTCCATTCGCCACTTTTGCGCTCAACTTTCATAAGTGACGTCGGTCATTAACACGCGGAGGTGCCGCGGACACACGCACGCACGATGTAATTCAGTCGGCAGACCTCGCCTCCTTGTGACGAGCAAATTCTCGAACATTGACGCGGGACACGGTTGATTCAATTTCTAAGAAAAGAAAGATCTTTGAATGATTCACTTTTTGAAAAAAAAAATTGCACGAAGATACTTGTAAATTTCTTTACGGAGATGATATTAAATTAATTTTTGTTTTAACTATTTTTTGCGTGCAAGTTTTTTGGAGATTAGAAGTTTTTCATTGCGTCAAGAAGTCATTTTTTATATAATTAAAAACCGCGAGAAAGAGTTTTCATCGATTGTGACACGTTTTTTATACGAAAAAGGTTCATCAGGCTTCAAATCTCCAAGATAGATTCAAAACTATGAATATTCATTTGCATTGACAAGGACCGAATCCCCGGTCGAAACGTATGTACAATTTTATTAATAAAGTGAAGAATCTAAAGGCTCCGAAAGTTAACAACTTTAGAAATATACATCTCAATGGTCATGAGAGCCTACACCAGGATGTTGTGTGGAAAATAAGCGTGTATATACATATATATATATATACATGCTTATTTTCCACACAACATCCTGGTGTAGGCTCTCATGACCATTGAGATGTATATTTCTAAATTTATTAATAAAATTTATGGATTTCAACACACATACACATCCGTGTTTGCTGCTCTGATTGGCCTTCACATCTCATGTTTTTTATTACGATTGTCAAGATCAAAAGTTTCAATTGTCCTTTGGATCACTTTGGCGAGGCAGTCATTTGTGAGAGATTACGTGCGGCAAGGAATTCAACGCTGCTACGATGTCCACGCGCATCTGCAAAACGATATACAGTTATAATTAATGCGCGACGGCCGCGGCGTAACAGTTGTAATTTCGTAAGAGGCTTTCCTCTAATCTTGTTACTCGCGCGGCATGTGTGAGGTAATATCGATGTGGATTTCATGCCGCCGCATCTTGTTTCTCGCGCCGGCATACCAAGAACGGATTAAAATTTCTTTCCTTTCTTTTGTCGGAGTTTCAAAACCGGAGTTCTAACTCGAGACTCTCGAGGATTTGGAACCGTTAACAATTTTGATTAGTTCTTTGATCTTCGTTCTTTTTGTTCTCGCGGCTCTGTTGCCATGTAATTTTACACATTTATTTGTAATCGTTAAAATAATTGCGTTGCATCATACACCGTGAGAAAAATGTATATTTGCCCAAACTTGTAAAATTCGTTCTGCGAAGAAGAAACTGAAACAAAAATTGCAAATTGAAGTAAATAAAATCTGAGAAGAAGGTATAAAAAATTTACAGTTAATATAATCAAAATAAAAAAAAAATTATCCCAAAATCTCGTTTGAATCTCTTTTCCAAATTCTCTTCCAAAAGTATCTCGTGTCACGTTTGCGTTGTTTGTGTGTACGCAGGTTTCTTAAACTCTCTAACGAGCACGGCAAAAACCGCCGACTGCCCGGGAGTGTGCGTGCACGCATTGGCGACGTTGATGTGCGACGACGTCCTGGAGGACGTGCAATGTCCCACGGCCAGTATGCGGTGTTGTCTGCAGGATCCGATAAACGGCACCGCTTCGTCATCCGAAAACGCCATTGACAACGAGGTGCCGACCTCGACTTCATCAACGACGGCGGTTAAGGTCACCACGATTTCTACGACGACACCTGCAACAACTACCACGACTCTTGGCACGACTTACTCCACCTCGGCAAAAACTACACCGGTACGTTGAGCAGATTTGGTATTAGAGAAAATAAGCTGGGTCGCGACTTGTTGAAAACTGCTCTAGAAAGTTATTGCTAGAAAGTAAGATATATATATATATACATCGTCACACTAATACCGTGATCATGATTAAAGAAAAAAATTATAAAAAGCATTAATATTTTTTTTATTTTGCTCTTTTGTCGAATTATAGAAACTTTTCTTAGCGCACGTTTGTTTATGCGACGATACACTTATATTACTAATTCACACATTGCTTCAGAAAAATTAATAAGATACTTGTTTGTATGTTTTGCAGGAAAGCCACAATGAGACGAGTGAAAAGTTACCGAGTACGTAGATAATTTGTAAAATTGTTTCTCTCTGTTGTTACGTAATGCCAAATTAAGCTGGCAAGGTTAATTTTGTTTTTTTTTTTTTTTCAGAGAAAAATTGCTCGGGCATTTGCATGGCCGAGAGAATCGCCGATTATTGCGACGCCGTGCTGATGATAGACAATCTCTGCAAGCCGGGCCACAAGTGTTGCGTGTCCAGAGACGCATTCGGGGATTCTCCGCCGCCTGAACTTCTAGTGATAGATCGTACGAACACCTCTCGTCAAGACGAGAAAAATGGAGGAGGAGCTTCCAGCAAAGTATCTTCTTCTCTGACGACGACGCAATCGAACGCACCTTCGTTAACAAGCAGTTCTACGATTCTCACAACGATGACGATGACCACCACGACCACCAAGCAGCCGTTGACGACGACGACGACGACGACAACAACGGTGAGACCAAGACCGAAGCCGATACCGCTGAAACCCTGCAAGGGAGAATGTACGAGCGGTCTGTCCGCGCTCTTCTGCGACAACATCGACAGCGACGCGGATTGTCCCGCCGATGGATCCGTGCTGACAGTCTGTTGCGTCAACGAGCCGCCACCGCAAAAAACGGTAATAAAATGTTTAAACATTTTGACGCACGAGTTGCACACGTGTTGTGTATGAAAAATAATAACCGAGAAATTATTATTCTCAGGAAACTACAACAACGATTCGACCGACCACAAAACCTCCTCAACCGAAGCTACCGTCGTGTCCCGGTTTCTGTCTGCTGACGATCATGGCGGCGTTCTGCGAGCGACCGAACGTGATCATAGCGAAAACGTCGACCTGCCAATCCGGATCTATTTGTTGCGACAACACGAAGAGTCCGCCGCAGGTAGTTCAGTCGTTTTTCAAATTCCACGAATTTGTGCGAAACTTCTGAAACAGGAAAAATTTTTAATAGAACAAATACTTTTTCTAACAAAATATTCTATAAAACGTTAAAATATTCACGTCTTTATGTTCTTAGACGCTGCGACCGAGACCGAGACCCACCCCGCGACCACCGACTACCGTACCATTACCGCCGGACCCAAGACCAGAATGTCCCGGTTCCTGCATCGTGTCTTACTTATCGTTTACTTGTTTCAGTGAGTAGTCGCACATGTATATATATATATATATATATATATATATAGGGAATGTGAATCTCGCGCGGGAATAGTCAGTGCCTCATGTTTATTCATGTTTATACTTTGTAGGAAACGCCGAGCTGACAAACCTGTTCAAGTGCAAGAAGCCGGGACTTCAGTGTTGTGCGCCGAAATCTCTGATAAGAGAATTCCACGAAGAAAATTCCACGGAACCGGTTCTCACTAACAGAAACGACACGTTTTATATTCCGCATACTACGCGGCCTTACAGCACTCCGCTCATCACGTCCATTTGTAAGTAAATCCGTTAATAGAAAACGCGTTTAATAGCTTCTTTCTTTTGAGAAAAATCATTTTTCAAACCTTCTTAGAGTATTACTGAGTGCAACGCCAGGTTTTCGACCTAGGTTTGTACAGCTGTATATCAACCATTTTCACAGATGAGACAACAACGGCTGTCACGACTACCAGAAGTCCGGATACGTACGATAAATACGTTTGCGGTGTGAAGGGAACTTCTCGCGGTCCTGTTCAGGCACGAAGTTCCGACAGGGTTGGGCGCGTGGTCGGCGGCGAGGACGCGGACGCCAACGAGTATTGCTGGCAAGTGGCATTGATAAACTCTCTCAATCAGTATCTGTGCGGCGGCGCTTTGATAGGAACCCAGTGGGTCTTAACTGCCGCGCATTGCGTTACCAAGTGAGTAAACACGCGTCGGTTTCGCGCCAACATGTCTCGCGCACGCAGGAATTAAGAAAAAATCGAGAAAAATACGAAAAAAAATAAACTCGTTTCCAGTATCGTGAGATCCGGCGACGCAATCTACGTAAGGGTGGGTGATCACGATTTGACACGTAAATACGGAAGTCCCGACGCCCAGACTCTGCGCGTCGCAACCACGTACATACATCACAATCATAACAGTCAAACGCTGGACAACGACATCGCTCTACTGAAGCTACAGGGTCAGGCGCAGCTGAAGAACGGAGTTTGTCTGATTTGTTTGCCGGCGAGAGGTGTCACTCACACAGCTGGCAAACGATGCACAGTTACCGGCTACGGATACATGGGAGAGGGTGAGTGATCAGGCGCGCGCGTATTTGTGTTTATTATAATTTTCTTAAATGTTTTACTGGGAAAAATCAGTTTTTTCAGCATGTGTGTGTGTTTACATGGACACAATGAACGTGTATATTAACGTTTCACAGCTGGTCCCATACCTCTTCGAGTGCGCGAAGCAGAGATTCCGATCGTTACCAATGCCGAATGTGTAAGAAAAGTAAACGCCGTAACCGAGAAGATCTTTATTCTGCCGGCAAGCAGTTTCTGCGCCGGTGGCGAGGAAGGAAACGACGCCTGCCAGGTATCACGTTGTTCTACATATGTTTAACCCTTAACCTGCACACTTCGTATAGGAATCACATAGCCTGCACATGGGGTATGGTCTACCCCAGCCACAAAAATGATCATCAAATTCACTGAAATTATTATAACTTGAAAAAATTTAATAGACAAATGTATTCTGGCTATTGAAGCAAAACACTGTTGTTGACGTGTGAATATTTAAATATGTTTATTGAAACTTAGTAGCATTAACGCTTTCGACCTTGTATTAGGTCCTTATCAAATGCATTTAAATTACTTTGGTAATGTACGTCGCACAGTGCTGATCGTCCATATCGCACAAGCAGGCCCGACCAACACTTTACTTAGTAGGATAAACGCGACTTTAGTCTTTCGACTAATACAAGGTCGAAAGCGTTAAGTTTCAATAAACATATTTAAATATTTACAACAGTGTTTTGCTTCAATAGCCAGAATACATTTGTCTATTAAAAATTCTTGAAGCTACATTCACTTATCTTTACATGAAAAAATTTATATACAATATTTGAAGCATCTATAAAAAGACGTCATAGTGTTTTTTTTTAATGATTTTTCAATTTTAAGTTAGTGAAAAAAATTTCCTAAAAAAAAAACGATTTACGTAGCTATATCTTCGTGGAAAAATGCCTGGGGTAGATTCCACCCCACAGTGCAGGTTAAGGGTTAATAAACGAAGCATTGTTTTTTATTCAGAGTATAGATGTTTACTTTTTTTTTTTTTTTTTTGAATGTAAATCTTTCTCGCAACGAAGAGATTTTATTTTTGATATTTATTATTTAGGGTGACGGTGGTGGTCCTTTGGTGTGTCAGGACGACGGTTTCTACGAGCTTGTTGGGCTCGTTTCGTGGGGTTTCGGCTGCGGTCGCCAAAATGTACCGGGCGTTTACGTAAAGGTAAGCGCGTACATCGGTTGGATAAATCAGATCGTATCGGCTAATCAATAGTTGTTTGCACGTAATGCATGTATGTAGTGTAACGACACGAGATCGATTAAAGATGTGTTTATTTATTGACGGAACTTTGGAGTACCTTCACGCGCTTGATGATACTTATGTTAGTAGACACCGCCAGTTAAAAGCATAGCGTGGCGAAAAGCCGTAGACATATTGAGATTCGATTGCCGATATTGTACAACTCGAACATTCTTGAAACAGAAAATCATTCCATTTTTTTTATTGTCCGTTTCGTTCAGTGGTACCATATCGAACGGCATTCAAATAGTATAGAAAATTATACGTACATCTCTTTATGTCTTATATATCGAGAAAACGATACAACACGTAAAAAAGTGCGAAATCAAGTGCCAAGACTACTATGTTTGTTTTTTCTAAAGAAATTTATATTTGCAACACGTGTTTCGCTGATAAATAATAACATGTATATGCGGTTTAACTAAAAATTGTGAAAAATATCTGCAATTCGAGTTTCTAATTTTTTTTTCTTATCGTATCTGTTGATATTTATTTTATGTTGTCACGAAACACAGAAAAAATTTATTGGTTCACGACTCGTTCAACGTTTGGAAGCGTAATAACGAATTGTTAATTTAATACCGATTAACGAATTGTTAATCGGTATCTAAATGCATTTTGTTTTTTTTTTTTCTGCACTTTTGTTAAATGTGCCATCAAGTGCGTATACATATACATATATATTTTTTATTCTTAAATGACACAAGAATATTTTTTTATGTGACATATGCTCTTTAAACATGGTGTGTTCCAATAATTGTAAATTAGTCCGAAGTAGGAGGGAGGGGGGGGGGAATATAAATGTGTGTGCTCTATTATTTATTCATATTAGATTATACACGGCACAAAATCTTGAAAACTACGAAAATCTTACGAACATTTGTGTTCGCAGTCATTCTTAACAAATTGATAGCGTTACTCTTTATTACTCTGATGAATCTCTTTAACCCGAAAACGTGTTAGTGTAATAGAGCGATGTTATATATAACAAGTTATGTGTATAATAACACTCTTCTATCGATGTGTGAGTACGTTTGTTCACTCGTGAATTGGTTTTTATTGCACATCGGCGTGCGCAGTATCGAACTTGTCAGATTTTTATTATTCATCGCGTGTGCGAGAGAAGAGTTTTTAAATGTGCAATCATTGCTTTGTATATTATCGCGTTCTATTCATAGGTTTTTTTTTTAATTATATCTGCTATATATGTATTTACTTATTCGTTAGTATAACTTGTACATCTTGATATAGAATTTTAGGACTTAAGGTACTTAAGGACGTTAAAGTAATTAAAAAAACAAACGCATTTTGTAAGGTATGATGAATGAAACAAGCGAAAAAATTTGTATTATCCGGTCATCTCTGTACGAAGAAATTACATATGACAAAAATTAAAACAATTGTATAATAATATAAATTCTCTAGACACTGAAGCCTTTAATTATTCAATTATCTCACAAATATTATATATAGATATTGCACTAATATATAGCGTCAAATGATATATAGCGACACTTGCAACATAATGTTGAGCTAAGGTAAGTATTGTCCATTAATTATTTTTAAATAAAATCTTAGAACAATTATATGAGTTTAATAAAAGTTGCACTACATGTGTGTAAGTATGATGTATAATCTGATGTGCGCCATTCCACACATATAGATCACATGTAAATTTTCAAGTTAGTTAATACTTTAAAATATTATAAAAAATAATATTATAAAAAATAATTAACAATTATTCTCGTATTGTTTATTATATATTCTTACAGTATGATACAAAATTAAAGAACATTATACTGTAATGGTTTTGTTACATTCGTTTTTTTTAGTATCTAAGTCAGCTTATATGCGAATGTGCAAAATAACATTTTTATAATTACAAAAGTTATTATTATTAATTATTATTAATTATTATTTATTTACAAATTATGTATATATATAACCCGTTTTTACTTTTTGAGATGATAGTACTTAAAATTTTTGTTTGAATTGTTAGCCTTTTGAAATGTTAAATTTGCTATTTGCAGGCTGCGTTCGTGGAGCGCTATCTGCGCTATTGCGTCATTTTTTATCTTTGTTTTTCATCTAACGAGCAATAAAGATAGAATAATGCGATAGCGCAGATAGTGTGCTTCCCGAACGCAGGTCTAAAGAAGAAACCTGAGTAGCAATAATTCCCTACACAATTTTATCCCTGAAGTACAAAAAACTGTTTCTATTTAGGTGAGCAAAGCACGCGACATACTACTGGCCAATTTCTTGTTTGTCCACTGTCAAAAGATGTTCTCCTGATAGTCAAATTTGTAGAATTGCACACAAATAACGACTGAATTTTTACTCGCTTGAAACTACTGCCTTGAAAATTGGCTGATCACGCAGATGGCGCATGATCAACCAATAATAATCATTTGGCTTGTTATCACATGGAAGAACTCTGCAACGTGCTCCGAAAAAAATTGAATTTTATATTGCGTGACAATCGAAACAGATAAAAAACTTTTTATAATTCTTTACTATGGAAAACAAAACAATCAAGGCAAGTATTGTTTTGTCAAGTAGATAATTAATTAGCGTTTAATTGATAAAATTACATAATCGATCAATTCACAAAGACAACTTCTTTATTATCTTCATAATAAATCAAATCTTTAAACAATTGATTGTTCTCATACAACAAGAGTGATATTTTTATGTCTCAGGTAGGAATAATAAGCGGTTCGGGTCTAGGTGATAGCATACATAATGTATTTAAATATAGCAGTACTACAAAACGTGAGGATGCGAAAAACGATTTCGGTTATCCCTCCAGCGATCTGTATCATGGATGCATCGAGGGAGTGGATGTGGTATTATTATCTAGGTAAGAATTGTTTGCATCCTCAACACTCTCATCACTGCTACGCAACACAAACCATGCAACTATCGTTCAAGTTTTTTTGGTTTTTATGAACAGACATGGTGTTGGACATAAATTAAGTCCTACAGCTGTTAATTACCGCGCTAACATAGAAGCATTGAAGCTTACTGGATGCACTCATGTATTGGCATCTAACGCGTGCGGATCGTTGACAGAAGCGATTGGCAGAGGACAACTGATTATACCTGATAGCTTCATAGATAGAACCAGCTCCAGAAAAAGCACTTTCTATGATGAAACATCTACCAAGTATAGTGGCAAGTATTGCTTGTGTAACACGTGTTATTTGTTTTCTAAGACGTGACATTATTCGCGTATACAAAATTGCAGGAGTATGCCACATCCCGATGGAGCCCGCTTTTGATCCACGTACATCAGAGATTTTATTAGAAGCGGCAAGAAAATTGGGATACAATGTAACAAAGGGAGGAACAATAGTGATTATTGAAGGACCGCGTTTTTCTACGAAAGCAGAGAGCAAGGTTTATCGTGCCTGGGGTGGACACTTGATTGGCATGACTACATACCCAGAAGTATAGAAGTTCCAATATACGTATGAAATTCTATATAGAAAATTTTTATTATATATAATTTCTGTTGTTTTCCGTATCAGGTGTGCCTAGCAAAAGAGGCGGGGCTTCTGTACGCGTCTATAGCAATGGCTACGGATTACGATTGTTGGAAAGATTGTGATAATGTTCATGCAGCTGACGTCGTAGTGATATTTAAGCAAAATGTTGATAAAGTGATTAAATTGTTAATTGAAGCTGTAAAACTAATCGGTACAGAAGATTGGGATCAAGATATTCATAAATTAAAGGTAACGTTTATATTATTGAATATATATGTACATCTAACAAAATAATAAGTTTTTAATGCATATTTAAAACAAAATTGTTGCAGAACTTAATCGAGAGCAGCAATGTGTCCGTAAAATGCTAAAACTTGACGATGGGACCAAAGAACTATCCTAAAAAATATACATATATATACGTAGTTATACGTGAATATAATTCCTAAAAGATCATGTACTAATTTGTAATCATATTTTATGGCATTACATCTTTTATAAAAGCGCCTATTCGCACAAATGTTTATATATTTTTACATGTGATTTATATACACATTATAGCCTACTGGTGTGTATGCGCATAGATATATCTATATTTATATATCTATGCGTCTTATACACAACCACCAAATAAAATATACAAATACTCGTACAATATAAATAATTGCATGAAAAAATAATGTTATTATTTCGTATTTATATACATTCTCTTATTTTTCTTTCTATAGCTCGCATCATGTTTAAAGACTTTGGGTAACGTGGGTAAGTAATAAATAAAACAATTACAATTAAACTTAATATATTTATTAACAATTATATTTGCCTATACAGAGTTCATAAAATCAATTGACTATCATCACTTTTTCAAAAAAGTATATCTACATATATAATTGGAAAACTGTCAATTATAACTTCTTTTTTTTTTATTATACATTTTGTTTCGAAGGGGATTGATGTAAGGAACGATTCGATCGATATTGTCATTGATTTCTGCTAGAGTAAGACTTTTCGCATGATCAGAAACTTTGTTTGGTCTCTTTTATAGGGATTTTATTTTTAACGAATCTAAAATTTGCAACTAAAACTACATACATGAGGTTTTTTATGTTATATGAAACCATGCTGTACACGGAATTTTATGTACAAGAGCAAAATTTACACTGTATTTCAACAACATGAATGTTTCAAATATTTATATATATATATATATATATATGTATATATATATATATATGCTTTTTCTTGCGTTACACGTTTGCAACATAATGTTCTCATGATGAATTTTGTGCAGTTTGCAGAGCCAACTTGTAACTATTCAACTCTGATCTTTAAATAATCAACAAAAGTAGTGCAGTTACTTAGGAACGATAATAATTAGATATATCTATTTTTTTCATCATGATCAATTATATTTTTAACGATTGAAGAATTAGATAAAAACGTAAACGCAACTGAATGCACATGTGAAATTATACGAGTAAGAGTTTTTTATTTTTTAAGTTTAGATTGTTCAACGATAGTACGTTTTTTTAACATTTCATTTATAGATATAACAAGATATATCTCTGTTTGTGTTTTAAGCCACCATTTCTTATATGTTAACAAAACGCGCCTCAAATCTATATAATACAATCAAGAAATATGCATTTAGCAATTCTATTTAGACACGGTATACATTTCATTGCGCGTCAGCATATAAAATATAGACTGTTTTACATTTTCTTTTTTAATCAAAAAGTTGTTCCGGAGAGTTCAAATAAATTTGCGTCTCTTGGCGCGCTAACTTGGTTTCGTAACTACAAATCATGTGATTAAACATCGCCAGAGACTTTAATCTCTGTTATCACACATATATGTATAGCTCTTTTCTCTATATTTAATACTTGAAGGAAATATTATATAAAGGAATGCAAAACAAAACAAAAAATTATTGTTACGCACGTTTTCTCGATTTAGAAAAATAATACATTCGTGAATGATGCGATTATTTCACGCGATTATTTTCTTTAATAGTAAACAAAGGAAAACTTTTGTAAGGAAAGAATTCTCTCTCTTGGAAACAGTGGGGATTATTTTTTATACATATGAACAAGAAATTTTTGTAGGCACCTCTGCTATCAAAAATTTCCGATAGAATTGTCATCCAAATAAATAAAAAAGTGCGACATTTTTGGAAGAAGAAAATTAGACCTTATTATCGACCATATCGACGTTGATCCTGTAATATACGTACGGAAAATAATCACTCTGGCCAAAACCTAGTCCTGGTATATCCACGTTCTGTTAAAATTAAAAAAGTTTTAGTATAAATAAAAATTTCTTTTAAGTACGTTCACAAATACATGAACACACAATTATAATATCAGTATAGGATAACTTACATCTTGGTTATGCACCGCTGAAGATGTAGCGGACGAATCTAAGTGAGCATACAGCTGATTCAGAACGTCACGTAATCGCCTGGCGCATTTCTTATGCGGATGCAATAGTATTGCTTGGAAATTAACAGGTAAACCATATCTAGAAATTAAAAATTTTATTTTTGCGTAAAATTTTATATTATTTTATATTATTATTATTATTATTATTTTATATTTTATATTATTTTATATTATATTATATTATAATTATTTTATATTATATTATTTATTTTATTTTTTTGCGTAAGATATCCTTCTGTATTTTATATGATATTTATTACACAGTACCTAAGAACAGATTCAACAAATACGCGCAGAGCTTTAACATGGATCCAAGCACAGAAACATTCGCTAAAGTTTACTTTCAACCAGCGGACAAGCGGTCCGAATTGTTTCTTCTTATCCGTTACTAGCTTTGTAATTTCATTTTTTCCTAAAACACAATAAAATAAAAATGTATCGGATATTATTACATTTCACATATAAATTTATGTATATACGATTGTGTACGTAGATGTCAACAAACCTGCTGCCAATTCTTCTTCATTGTATGTAAAATCGCGCACGATGAACTTCTTTTCGCGAGCATGCAATTTAAATTCGTCCATCACTTTTTTGAACAAAGTGACCGTGAACAATCCGTACTCCGAATCCTGAGTAATAAGTTGCGTGCTGCGCGGCACAATCATATCCGTTAATTTTTCGTAGCATGCGTGCCATTCTTGAAAGTTGGATCTAAAAGAAAAGGAAGAAGCATGATGAGATATACAAATTTAATTTACATCATATAAAACAGATTATATAGATTTATTTGCTTACTTCGGTACAATTACGAGCAAAGTGGTCAGATATTCGCTGTCCAGTATAAAATGTTCCTTCTTCACCAGATCCGCTAAATTTCGCGTTAATAAACTTCCTCTGAAAGTGGATCGTATATTTAAATACGATTTTACTTATCTATGCTCATCAATCGTATATTCGTTCGTACTTCGTAATGCATGTGTAACATTATCGAACTTACGTCTGCTTCTTTTCGAGATTTTGCAAGCTGCCTTTCAAATTGTTGTACGTCGTGGATTTGGTTTTCAAATCGGCATCAATCTGTCCCACTTGTTTACTGATAATATCCGCGATATTTCTTAGAGATTGTTTGATGGGGTACTTAGCCATGTCCCATTGAAATCGAGTTATATACGAAGGTAAATCACCTACGTGAATTTCGAATATTAATTCCGATATTTTAAAAAACGACAACAAAAGAAAAAAAAATGTTACGCGTTGATGTGCAAATTTATACGCAGAGCTTTAGAATTTATTTAGTATATTATATATACAATATATATAATTAAAGCATTTTTTTTTTTTTTATGCCAATAGAGATTGTGTGGATCGTGTTGCAAAATGAAACAAATCCAATGTATTTCTTAAACTCTGCATAAATTGTCAACAACAAATTTCTCAAATTTTATTGTAGTAAATTAAAACGTTATTTACACAACAATGGTTTTTAAAAAAAAAAAAAGTAAAATATTTACACTGGTGAAAGACAAAAGAATAAATTTTTCTAACAAGCAACTTCTTGTTTCTATATGTTTCTCATTTGAGCATTACAAAAAAGAAGCAAGACATACACAGAATATATCATGCGGTGACGAACAAATCAATTCATGAACAAACTCATTGCTTGAAGTGTGTTTTTTTTTCTTTTTTTTTTAATCAGACAAATATATGACACATTCAAAATGATCATACTGTATTATTTGCATATAAAATTCTGTGCACTGTATGCGATGCGAAGAAAAACATACGTACTAAGAAAATTTTTCATCAGTAAATAACAATTCTCGTAACTTTTTTATATATATTTTTGTATACATCTCACATGCAGACCTCGTGTTCACTACTTCTCAAACACGATCTCACTCTAACGATAGTCAGTTGGTTAAACAAATGTGAAGTAGTGGAAGAGCAATGCAAGAGGACAAATGGCAAAACTTAATGAGAGTAAAATGTGCGAAGATTCGACTGCAAATTTTATACGCATCTATCAGGATGTGTGGAGTTTTCATACACATGCATATAAACTTTTTTTTGTATGCACTTAAATATATATATATGTATATATATATATCGTTATTGTAAAATGTTTCCAATTGCGGTTTTAGTTCACTTTTATAATTATCTGCATTATCTTCTTATTGTATTGTGTGAAAATTATTTCAGATATATACCTTTTCTTGTGCAAGTTTCTTCATAGACATATATGGTCATTTTTATCGCCAACACATAAAATTAGCAACTTAAAAGTCAATGTGCAGTGATACAATATAATAAAATAAGCAAAATAAGTGAAAGAAAAAGTAAAGAAAGCAAAATCGTAGTTAATAATTATAAAATAATAAATAAAATATAATTATAAATATATATATAATAATAAATTAATAATACATTATATAATAAGAAATAATTATAAAATGATAATAGACTATTGTTTCCTCGGATAGATACAACAAAATATTTTTTCTTTTTTTTTATATTATATGTAGAAAATAATCTGATTTGATTTTTTCAAACAAAATATTGTGTGGAAGAAACTATAAAAATGTAAAATAATTATAAATTTATGCACCGATGATGAGAGAGTAATTATTTGTAATAACAATGTTATATGTAGTGTAACATGTGTTAACTACCTGCGCATTATTGTCTGTACGTAATAGGTATATACTTCATTCATCATACAATTAAATTATTAGCAGTTCTTAAAATATTCTTCTTCCCACTGTTTCTTGTTCTTCTCAAAATTTATTTTCCTTGAAAATGTACTCTGTGTGTTGCAGTTATAGTTGTATGTATATACGCACACACACACACACAAATGATACAAAACGTAAAATTTTTGTAACAAACGTATAAGAAGAGAGTGTATATCACAAAACTTAAAATTTCAATAAAATAAAACTTCGTAAATAATAATGGCAGAAGCGATATACAGAAGCTATAGAAAAGACCAATTCAAGGAACAAGAGAAAGACAAAGAAGAGCGAACTCAGGAGAACAAGCTTAAATTATCCGATGGACAATTAAATATACGTAATGCGAATGCAATACACATGTGGATCGATCTTCCACAAAAAAAAAAAAACAAAACAAAAATGGAACATTGCTATTTATGTGTTTTGCAACAGATTCTGTAAAGTTCATAATGTAATTATACATAACCAATATAAAGGACGCAAAGAGTGAAGACGAACGAGCTCAAAACTAAAGATACACGAGCGGAAGTTCTCGAAGAAAACAGGTGAGAAAAACTTGTGCACACTCATCATATAATTAGGATGTGCTGCGAAAAGATACAGTTATCCTTTGATACCTCTTCCTGCTTATTTAATCTTTTTTTTGGAATTAAAACAATTATACAGAAAAAGTGTCCAAATATTTTACTCTCAGCTTTCAAGTAAACAATCACTTTAGGTCTCTGGAGTTTACTTCGATTTTTTCATCAGAACAGAATTTATTGTAACATTTACGTTACATTTTTATTACGTTCTATTTCGAGCTATGCGAAAAATACAAATTGTTTCTTAATTTCTTCTTTCTATTTACGCGAAATCATTTCAGAAAAAAAGCTTTCTACGTTCTGTAAATTATATATAACGCAATGTAAATTAATATTTCAACCTCGTGACACTCTTGGTGTTTTGGAAACAGTTACTCCTGTGCCAACTTCCCCCCAAAAAAACACGCCGCGATCGTTAATGAACGATCGAAAACACGAAGTGCACAGGAACGAAATCGGACAAAAATCTAATCTATGTTGAGGAAGAGGAGAAAAAGGAGTGACGGAACGCGGGTTCTCTCGAATCGACCGGCAGTGACGGGATGGGTACCTGGATTCGGCAAAATGCCACTATGGTCTTGGTCTTGGTCGTTGTTTTGGTCCGCATCGTCATTGTCGTCGTCGTCATCATCACCATCCCCAATTGATTTGCGGGCGGATCGATCTTTCTCAGCGTTAGTAGTCCGCTGATGTAACGGCTGATGCCGTCCGAGATCCTCTTCGCTGTTACAGTTCGATGATAGGGAGGACAGGGTAGGACTGACGGGAGTCGGACTAGAGCGTGGCGTAGAGGGTGTAGAAGCAACGCACCAATGATTATGGTAGCATGAATAGATCGATGAGGAAGAATTACTGGAATGAGCCTTGGCATCGTAGATGCTCTGAAGCTCGTACGATAACTTCTTTTCGAACACGAGAGAATGATGTTGCTTAGTGTGGGAGTTGTGATGATGATGCTGAGGCTGATGATGGCGGTGATGATGATGTTGGTCGTGATAATGATGACGTTGGTGATGATGCTGACCTAAACAGGCGGCCGGCTCGGGTTCGGACTTGTCCAGCTCGCTCCACTGCCTGTGATGCTCCTTCGTGGTCTTGTGTGATGGTGTAACAGGGGTGTTTGGCGGGGTCGCACCCACTTCGGGGCTCGAGCTCTCCCCATCCATTGATGACTGACCTATCCATTACAGCCCAATCCCAATCTCCGCGCAATCTTTCTTATTGACTTGCTCAACTATTTATTTCTCTCCTACGCAAATGTCTAACGACAATGCGCTGACTAAACCAAAATCAACCGAAAGAGAATAAAACAAAACTGAGGAAAAACACACAGAGTATTTAGCGTATAAATTGTTTGCTTGTCTTACAATGTCGAGATTAGAAACTCAAGTTCGACTTCATTTCGTTAAAATTGCAAATGATATGCGTGATGGAGAAACAAAATAATAATTATTGTTTAATAGTGACATCATAGATGAATTTATTTGAGATTATGATGTTTACGAGAACTTTGCAATTTTAATTTGCGATAGAAAACTAATTATTATACACACTATTTAAAAAATATAAAATATTGTGTTTAACATATGTAATCAACATATGTATAAATGTTTTATATATTCACTTATTAATTGATTAAATCCCCGTTAAATACTCCGGTATATTGCAAAAACAAATGACGAAATAGAAAATAAGTGACCACAAAAGACATATTCGATTGAAAAATAATATTCACGAACAAATACATACTCAAACATAAAAGAACCAATAAGTCACTGCGACGATAAATCGCAAAAAATTGAGATAAGTAGAAAAGAAGAACTGAATGAGAGATAAACGAAAACGAAAGAAAACGAAATCTAGTTATCAGAGCTTGGTGACCACAGTAACCCAAGCAATTCCTTGCGTCCTGCGGAAGATTTTATGGTCGACACTCGTCCGTGGTCCGTAATAAAATATTTCACGTATTGCTTTGTTTGTCCTTTATATATAATGTTATGTATCTTTATGTCTCGACAAAAGTTTCTTCTTTACATATATATATATATATACCTTGGAGTAAGAATTTTTGTATACGGTGCATATATGTTGTACGAGCACTTGTTAATAAAATAAGAAAGGTAGGGAAACAGGGTTAATGTGGTCAAAGTTAACAAAACTTAAGCCAAGCAACATCACAAAAAATAAATAAAATTCCAAAAATAATGAAACCGTCGTAAATAACAAAACGAAAACAACCAAACACATAAATAAGCGATCTACAAATATATTGACTATGTAATATTACACGATACGTATCACATCTGTACGATTCAGTTTTCGCTAAAATTAAAATAATTTTATGCAATACTGAAATATAACTGATATCTTTTTGTATTGCAAAGAATATCAATATATAATTAATATAATTATCTCAAACTATATATGTAATAAAAATATATATAATAATCTTATATAATAAGTAATTTACTCCAAATTTATGATATGCATCGTATAAATATAAGACTATTTAGAATTTTTTGTCTGTGTATATTCACCTAATAACTATTAGAACATGCATTAAAAATATTCCGTAGCGTTAAATGTATTTTTTTTTTTATTTACTATCCTTGTATATAGACAAAATTGTTAAAAATCTCTATCAAACTATGACATGGGGCATTGAGGAAAATAGGGATTATGTTTCTCTAGAATTGAACTCATCATCTCCAACACACAAATCAACGAGTAAAATTTAGAGTTAATTGTAACAACATATCAAAGGTTTATTGACAAAAAAAAAGGCGACTTTTGAGGTAGTGTGCATGTTTCGTGTTGTGTATATGGTATTCATCGATGTGCACATTGAATAATCAACATACTTATTCTGAATAATCTTAAAAAGACAAAGGTAGAATATCGTAGAAAAATGATGCATAAACAATCAATTGATATTCTTTTGTTTTTTTTTTCACAAGCAACTAGAACATTTCTTTTGCACTAAATGATCATTATTTCTTTAATCAGCTGTTTTGTGTCAGAGATTCAATAGAGAACTTGCATAATGCATGTTCGCAACGATATCAAATGGATCAAACTTCTGTCAAACTTTTCTAGTCTACTTGCATGTCAATTTTCAATTCAGCTATTAAAAAATATACACTAAAAAAAAAAACGTTCAAATATATAATCAGAAGGTGCAATATCTTATAAAAATGTATAGCCAGTGTGTTTGTTACATATATAAAATTCATTTAATCGAATACTACTTGGCATTCGAAGGAAAATGTAAAAGTGACCGAGGAAAAATAGATAAATGCAGATAACAATTTGAACCCTTTGCCGAACAATTTGCTCCTCCATTATAGACAATAATATCTGTCGGAGAAGGTACAAAAAAAAAACCCAAGTAACGTGATAAAGCAACGAGTCTTTTTACTTACTATTGTTGGCCAACAGATTCTCATGCAGCTTGTCCCTCTGATCCTCCAAAACCTCTCCCAGGTATGTTGCCACTTTACGTGTCACTTGCTCTACATACGTATCGAGCTTGCCGAGATCGTCCGACAGGCCAACCAATTGATCCAACGTTCCAACCTTCAGATCCGGAATATGAAATTTATAGTTTACCGACAAAGAGTGCTGCTTGGATGTTAAATTGTTCATAGTCTCCCATGTCTGCTGACAGGTTTTATCTCCCGGCGCCGATATCAGCCAATATTCTGTCATCTTGAGTAATGAATTTTGTACCTAAACTTTTAATATATATCTGAAACAATAATTTTTGCACCACTTTATATAATCTTGTTGTTTTTATAAGATATACAAGCTGTATTATATATATGATATTTATATTTGCTTTTAAATACTTGTATTATACAGAATATAATTTTTATGAGAAATTATATGAACTAAGTTTGTCTTTGTAAGAGAAAAATATTAAGTAATTGAAATATTGAGAGCTTTTTAATCATTGAAATAATATAAATTTTAAGAAATGAATAAAAATAAGATCCCCCACATACGAGCTTTGCAGGATGTTATGCTGAAATGTTCTATTATATATATGTATACATATATATATGTTCACATGTAAATTTTTACAGGTGTTTTTTGAATTGAAATTTCAATTCTTAAAATCATACAGTATGCTATACTTGCATCTCATGTATTATATATATGTATACATATATATAATAGAACATTTCAGCATAACATCCTGCAAAGCGGCTTGTATGATCTTATTCTTATTCATTTCTTAGTTGTTACTTCAAGAGAGCCTTAAGTTTCTTTATTAATATAAATTTTGTTTTACAAAAATTTATATTATTATATTATTAGTTATATTATTTCTGATTTTATTACTACATTTTCAGTATTTTTATGTGTCAAATATATATTTTATATACAAATATATACACATTTTACATATTTACATGTTAATATTAAAAACTTATATATATATTGTAAAAATAATAAATAATATAATTAACTTATAAATTTGTTATGCTACAAAAATACACAAAACAGAGATGACACATACATTACGCCAGTTTCAAAATATTTTAATAAACGTAAGAACTGATCTCACACACAACCACCTGCTGACATTGCGCCGCTGTTGATCGAGCACAGTCAGGTGTGCAAACGCAAACACTCCGCACTGTTTGGCATCTTCGCCGTTTCCGTTTGACAATCAGCGATCATTATTGCGAAATAAAAGCTTCATAATGATCAGAGAATTTGCGAAAAAAAAAAAAAAAAAAAAACGCGTAGGATACGCGGAAAACGCAGGAAATGGAGGGTGTGGCGAGCATCGTCTGCTTGACACATTACGTAATTAGGCGCGTTTTCCACGTGACCGTCGTGGCGGCGATCGGCGCGCAAAACGGTCTGTTGTATCGCCGATCGATACGAAACGAAAATACATTTCAAATTCGCGAGACTTAACGCGGACAAAAAAGGACCGCGCAAGTCCTCAAACTTATTGTTCCTCGTAACGAGTTCACGGACATTTCGTTCGGAAAGATCCGCGAACTCACAAAGGACACTGTTTCGTGTCAATTTAATGGCGTCGGCCAGAGCACAGGGTCGCCCCCAATAGAGATCAATAACAGCGCGCGACATGTCGGAACGGAAAATTTGCGCGGAGCAATGTTAAAATCGATGGTGAGAATGCGCGAAAACAGCCGAGAGGGAAAAAATTTGACGAAGGCTCGTATAACGCTTCCAATCGCTCCGATGATTAATTAAACAAATGAAGCCGAGTGCGATCTAACATTGTTCGGGGAGAAAAAACGACGCGCGTTTACCCGATGATAAAAATTCACAAAAGGGCAACGTACCAGGCGAGTCTCGTCGAGATTTTCTTGTCTTCTTGTCTTGTCGTTGGTTGTCGTGCGACGCGACTCGGACGCCAGGTCGGCTTGCCACGAATATTCAGATGTTTTTGGCCGAACGACGCTGCTCGTCGACGACGAAACCAACAGGGACCATTGTGACCTCACGTGACGACAAATTGGGTGCTGCTGTCTTGCGACCCACCCGTCAACTAAACCGTAAACTAAACATCGTTTGCTGTCAGCTGACCGACAGGCTGGCCCCGCGATTGCCAACACCCGCGTTTAGGAGAACAATTTGCTGAGTTGTCATCTTGTGTTAACGGGTGCGTTCAGACAACTCAACGGTTGAGAGATCATCACTTATGATAGGACTATTCTTGAAAATCTGCATAGGTTCCAAAAGTATGATCCAATCATAAGTGATGATCTCTCAACCGTTGTGCAACTGTTGAGTTGTCTGAACGCACTCTGTGTCTCCTAAAAGGAAAGCAGCCAATAGGTGCGTTCAGACAACTCAACAGTTGCACAACGGTTGAGAGATAATCACTTCTGATTGGATCGTACTTTTGGAACCGCGGCAGATTTTGAAGAATAGTCCTATCATAAGCGATGATCTCTCAACCGTTGAGTTGTCTAAACGCACCCAATGTCGCCAATCTTTCGCGATTCGATCGATCGATGGGTGCGTTCAGACAACTCAACAGTTGCGCAACGGTTGAGAGATAATCACTTCTGATTGGATCATACTTTCGGAACCGCAGCAGATTTTGAAGAATAGTCCTATCCATAAGTAATGATCTCTCAACCGTTGAGTTGTCTGAACGCACCCAATGACGAACGATAAGACATAGTAAATTTTGAACAGTTTCTGACGTTTCTGGTAACCTTCGCTTGACGTGGTTTGGCAGACCTGATGTCACTTGGCGTCGTTTGTCGTTTCTGCTTTCTAACGCATCTTTGATTTTATCGTTTAGAAAGTTATCGAAAACTTAGTCGACTCTGAGACTGCGCATGCGACACATCGTGCTTCCTGCATCCCGTCCTTCACAGCCTTTTAGTTGCGCTTTTGCAAGTATTTTCCTTTCTTACTGCTTTTACACGCACTTATTACAAGTAAGTACGTACTTCTGTCTAATACTACCCGC